GCCTGAGTCCTGTCATAATCCACCATTCCAACTCCCTCCGGTGCAATAAATTCGCATCACATGATATGATCTAAGTGAATGAACTTTTCGGATCGCCCGCAGCAGACCAAATTAGAAACACAAGTGGCCGGATCTTTCTAATCTAACAGTTTGCCCCGCAATTTCGGAATAAATTAAGCAATCCATTTTGGATTTGTCGTCCTCTTGCAGGTAACATTACATTGTCCCTCAAACATTATACTGTTTTTATAAATTAGAAGTATAGTTTCTTTTACAGTGTTATCTAAAACTCTGGTGAAAATAATATGTGCGTATGACCTTTGCCAAGAAAATATAAAATATGACTTATATAACAGTTGGTTTAAAAAAACATATAATTATTTTTAAAAATATATTCTCTGTATTATTATTGAATTAAGAATTGGTAATAAAATATACAACGAGAATAGAAAAATCAGAGTTGTTCTACATCGTCTACTGTCTCTTTCGTCCCCTTGCCCCTCCGATCCTGTTTTACGTGATTAAGGCATCTTCATTCAATGGGGACCCGACTGCCATAGATATCCACATCGTTGTTTCGTGGAAGAAGGTCCCGTTGACTGGGAGGAGCGGGCGTGGATATTTCTGGCGACGTAGCAGTGGGTGGCGTGCCGCTGGGACCCATATCATTACCCTTGGTCTGTCTGGCTGAGAGTTTTTTTTGGCTGAAGGCCTTTTTTCGTTTTTTTCCCCCTAAGACCCCAAATGCGTGAGTTTTTACGACTGAAAGGATATTATATAATGATTTTTCAAAAATCTGGTGTCGAAGGAAATTTGAATATGCCCGTAAATATTTCTTCACTGCTGAGTAGTTTGTCTATTTTCATATTTTCACTTCTTGAACTGATTAAATAAAAGAAAAATATGACTTTCAGTCTTATAACACTTTTTTTTGTTCTATTTATAACATACTTGTAGCATATTTTATACAAATTAAGAAAAATTTCAAACTGTATTAATTTTTTTAAAAATATAATGACATTCTGTGCTCATAAGATAGCACAAGTAATCCACGAGAATTATGGGCCTCTCAAAACCAGAAAGTAAACACGAGCTTTCTGCTATTTTGTGTCTTCACTCCGAGCTGCCGACCCCGGAAAGGGCCTTTATAGCCATTATGGGTCGCTCATATTTGCACATTTCATAAGCACCACGGGATATGGGGAAAAAAATCTCTCGACAGAAAAATTGAGCAGACTGTGATTGGTCTCTCACACGATCGCGCCACGTGTATCCTCACACTTTCCTCGCACTGACTCCGAATCCTAATTCGGCTGTCTTGTCAGTGGGGAAGCCAGTCTCAAATTCAACCCTGTTCAACAGGGAATTAGTTGTCATCAATTCATAACGGAGGGTGTGTGAGGCATTCCTCTGTCACTGAATTTTATGATATTAAATCCTCTGTGTTCTCTGTCTTAATCCCTCCCTTTATGGTATATTTTTTCTTGGTGTGCTCGTTAAATTAAATATTAAAAAAAAACAGATTATCCCTTGCATATCGAAGGAACATTTACTTGTGGTGCTGCTGCATCCATTTTTGGTCCATGGGAAACATGATTTTATGTTTAGCCGAGCGGTTGCTTCCTAAACTTGTAAGAAAGTTCGTGGCTGAAGTATACAGTATTATGCATGAAATTCGGATTGAAAATGCAAGTAATCTCTTTAAATTAGATGTCATCGTGTTTCACATATTCAATTAATACTCATCCGGTTTTTAATATAAAACTCATTTAACTAATTTAATTAGATTAAGAAAGTTAACTAAATTAGTTAATTATAAAAAATATGATATATTTTTTCTAAAACACCATAATAATCTTTCTTAATATCCTCTCTCCTTTTTTTACTTGATTATGGTTAAAAAAATATCCATGATGGTAACTTAGAAAAAATTAATAAATATGAAAAATAAATCTTATATTTAAAATTAAAATTAATTTAATAATTAAGTTATATATTAGAGACCAGAAGAGCGTTACAAATCGCATGTGAAGACAAATATGAAGCCAGTGGTCCTGTGGCTTTAATTTTTTTGTTCTTTTTTGACCGAATTGTGGCTTCAATTAAAACCTGTCTCGGAAGTCAGAGGTTGTGATTCTGAATTTGTTTGTATTTTAAAGTCAGCAATACGTATTGCTTACGAACCAATCCATCAGTTTACGAAATAAGCCTATGTTAATAGAGCTGGGTTTGCATTTTGGGCCCCGGTTGCTAGAAAACACTTGGGTAACAGCCAGTTCAATGACTAATATGTATATTTGTCGCCCAGACAATTTATATAAGCTCCTTCGATTCCTACTCCTGTTGTTACCGTCCACCTCGCCGACTAGCTTCCCACGTTCGATGCTGCTTACGATTCAATAGAGTCATATTCAATCGTTGTGCAGTGTCTGGGCTTTCAGTTTCTGATGAATGCTCATGATGATGCTTCAAGTCTAGGTGAAACTGAAATGAACAGGTTTGATGCCGAGCTTCACTGTAAAATGAGAAATATTGTAGTAGTATTAAAAACACGACGTTGTATTGTTTTTTAGAATTAACATAAAAATAATTTAAAAAATTAAACAAGGTTGTTTCAAACCGGAAAACTTCTTGCATGCGCTTCGGGTATTAATGAGTTTTTTTCCCCCCTTTCCAATTCGGTTTTCCCCTTGGACCTTCATCTTAGGTCGTCCTCTTCTTTCTTTCTTCCAATTGCCTGCCTTCAGACTTCTTTTCCCTCCTCCTCCTGTGTTTTCCCCCTCCTATTTCCATCTTCCTGCTGAATGCTCAAGGATTAAAGGTTATTTTCACTCCAAAAGTACTCCCAAAAGAATAGTGGGTATTTTGAATCCCTGACAATTATAAATGTTAATTTTAAATATTACATCCATATTTAACTACTTTATGCAGGTCTGCTTTGCTGAGTTGGTATTAAGCGGGGCTTGTTGACAAATCATAACACACCAACTCTCTAAATTTAAATCCCAGCTGGCAATCATTTGATAAATTAAAAAATAAAAACGAAAACAAAATACCCAGAACAGTTATTTCATCCGGAAAATAAATTCCTCGTCTTCTTCGTCACTCGTCTTCTCCATTTATATTCAGTGTGAATAAAATTTACAAAAGAAAAGTACAAGACATGGTTATATAATCGAGTTTTCTTATTAATATCATTTCGTTTTAAATAAAAAATTAGTTTTCTTTAAAAATCTTTGCAGCAAATTTTGAAGTCAAATAAATACATTGGAAACTCTAGAAATTGCCGGTTCATAAAATGATTTTGCTGTTTTAGTGGGGAGAGGAGGAAAGGCATGGATTTTGTCAAAACCAATCAATTCTCAAGGACGCAATGATTAACGATGGTGCAGAACTTGTAGTAAAAACAAAATGTGAAAAGAAAAAAGAACAATACAAGGCAAGAGCAGGGCCGCTTCGGGTTTCAAATTGTTTCACGGAAGATGCTAACACTACGTTGGGAAAATTATTAGTTTAATCTCGTTCAGGCTATCCAATAAAACTAGCCAGTCCGTCCGAAATAAAATGGCCAGACCATGTTATTAATTTTAATTTTTTCAGATAACTTATTGATTATTGATAAATTAATTATATACGCCTTTATTTCCAGCTTTTATTATAGGTCATTTTTCACCACATTACTGAACTTCAAGCAGTGCTCACTTCTCTTCATGTTCTCAGATTATTATGTGTGCCTGACTTGTGAATTGCAACATATAACATTTATCAGGAATCTTTCCTTCTTCTTTTTTTCCAAATTTATTAGGAAGCCCCCAAATTTCCAAATTCATAACACCAGGCATAACAGAGAGAATTATTCACTTTTCTTTGTCAAGCATACTGAAAAAATATTTGTTCCCCTGCTAATTTCATTCATATTTCTATTTCACTTTCCATTATAATAGTAAAAGTTAAAAATCTTTCCAATATGCCAGTCGGGTCATGGAGTGTCGCCCAATTTTCAGGTATGCTATAAACAGAACACCAAACGTGGCTGACACCAGCATTTAAACAACCGGCAGCTGTCGTTTAAACATTAGATGGCTGAGCAGCAACCTTCGTTGGCAATGCATCTTGTCAACCTCCTCATTGTATTTTGCCACAAAAGAAGGCCATCTTTTTAATTATATAACAAGAAGCCTTCACAAAATGCAATTCTTAATTGGAGAGGGAAGGAATATCCCAGCATGGATCCCCTCACATAATAGTGTCAATCAGTTCCTTTGAACCAATGGAAGCGCTTAAATTTATTGAGTTTACCGAATTTTTTAGTGTTTTTTGGGGGGTCATTTTATATTAAGTGGAGTGGAATCTGATTCTCTCGTGAAGGCAATTTAAGTAAAAGTGCCTTTTGAGCAAAGTTAGGCTTTTTGAGGACCCAGTGGCCTGGGACACCCAACCCCTCTCATCCATGTGCATCCCCTTTACCCGGTGCACCGGGGCAGCCCGAGGCGGCGAAGCAAATATTGCAGGCTCAACCGCACATTGATTACCCGCTTCCCTATCTCCCCGTTTGCTTGTTTTCACTCATGTCACCATGTTATGTTTACTACTTACCATGCAAGTATGAACCTGCTGGTTGAAAAAACAAAAAGAAAAAACACCCTTGAAGTTTTGATTTACTATAATCTATCTTATATTAAATATTATCTTCAATTTTTAATATAAGATCCTATTTAATTTTTATTTTAGTCTCATATATAAAACCTTAATTCACATTATCTTTTATATTTATATATTTTTTTAAGATAATTTTTCTAACAATAATAGTTCTAACTAATACATTTAATTGGTAAGAATATTTAAAAAAAAAAAAACAATACATAAGAATTCCTTTTCTGTTACTTGGAAAAATAAAATACGGCGCATCACAAAATAATGGTGACCTTTACTTGTGGTCACCATGTCTGTCTGTTTGTGTTTATTCAGAAGGGACCTCACGATGACCCGGCATCAAGCAATTAGATGAATTCTTTCATAAACCAAAATCCGATTATTGGATATATCCTATCATATTATAATATAATTCATCCATTAACCAGATTCCTTCTCATTCAACTCGAATCCGTGTTAATAATACTGCAGATCTGGTCACTCCGATCCAGAAAATCCCACCCGTACAAATAAAAATTCAGAACCAATAAGGCCATCGGCAGATTGCATAGGCCAAATCAGAATTGCTAACATAGTTATTCGTAAAAATCATCTGTTCCTCTTGTTGAAATTCATCTTCTCGTAGCAACTGATCGACATCAGACACAAGGAAAGATGAACCTCGTCTTTCCCCAGCCGAGACTGTGGCTTCGATCGGATCACCTTCGGGACCGCAGGCCAGGAAGAAGAAGACGACGACGACGACGACGAGGAGGAGGTCGAACATGGCTGCGGCTTCGAGAGGGGAGCCAGGTAGAGCGCGTGAAGACGACGAAATCCACCGAGCGCGAGGACCACCGTACGCAGTTGTTGCTCGCTGCAGCCGGTGTTGGCCCACTGCTTGGAGCAGATCAACTCCCACAATCGCTCGTCCTGCGCCGTCTTGTGCCACTGCTTGCTCACGCATCCCGCCATCGCCAGCGTCCTCGCGTCCACGTGCTTCAGCACCTCGAAAAGCAGATTCTCATCAAAATAAACAAACGCGCCGGAGTTTTCTGCCGTCCGATTGTCCTCCTCTTTGTCACCCTCCGTCCGCTTAACCTTCTTCACCTCCTTATCATCACCCGTAGCCGGTGCGACGTCACCGGAAAGTGGCCTCTTCATCCCAAAGCGGCCAAGACAGAATTTCACAAGCGGACTTTATTCGTTCCTCTCTGTTAGCAATGAACAGTAAGAATACGGAGCTGCGTTCTGATGCGGCTTGAAATCTAAAAGAAGAGAACGGGTTGAAGGAGGTTCCTGAACGAAAAAGGTGAGGAAAATCGCGATGAGGGGGGCGTGAGGGGGAAAAGATAATGGAGCTTGGAGGAATAAGGGTGAAGGTTAGGAGGAGGCAAAGCAGAGGATCCCCATCATCACACCTGTTTCTGAGGGTTTCGGAAGACGACAACAAATACAATGAATGCGTTTGGATTCCATTTTGGTGAATAGACCCACTTGTCCTGCGCCTCGTGGCTCGTGGCCTCATGCTTTTGTTTCTATTCACTTTTTCCTCATTCCTCCCCGCTTTCTTCTCTTCCCCCACTCCTTTTTTCCAATTATTCTTCACTACAGGACAAACACAGATACAGCCAATCGCACAAAGCAATATACAAATAAACAGACATTTAGCCTCAAAGTCCAAAAACACAACAAAAATAAGAACAATCATCGATATTTCCAAATCCCTTCCTTACAAGCATACCTTCTAGATTCGTTATCAAGGCCAGCGAGGATGTGGTTGAAATACCTTGTTCATAGATGACGCTCTTTTATGTAACAAACTTGATTCACTGCCAAATTAACAAGCCCACTTGTTGGGAGAATGTTTTATATCTTTTATTTAGAAAGGATCCAAAAATTAATCTTCTTTAAGCACAACTCTGTAAGTAGAATTCGAATATTACAAAATCGCATTTGCATCTGCTATGAGCAATGCCAGAATAAAACCACATCAATCAATCTAGTGGAAGGGCGGTGGGCAGGAATTTTCAATGTGAATGAGAAACCCGGATGCGTTGATGAACCTGGGGTCAATTTGGTGTAAGAATTTTGCAGATAACTCGTAATTATAAAAACTCATTGCGTTCGAAGAAAAATGTACTGTAACTAATACAAGGAAATTCAACAAAATAAAAAAGAAAAGCATATGAATAAAATATATATGAGATTTATTTATTTTAATCTCTACAATCACATGCCATGTGCGCATTTTTTTTCAGTGAAAAAAAGTAACAGTAATCAATCCCGTCACATCTTAGGCTTTCCGATGGGGGGTTTAGTGCCATGTGTTGTTTCTTTTGATCTGATACATCGTCTTTGGGCGCTTCCTCGTAAATGATGTCAATGGTCTCGGTGGATCAGGCCGAGGATAGCCCCTCGGCGGACCTTTGGGCCGAATTCTGTATTTTCCTGAACACCCCTCCCCCGAAAACACGTGCGCGGAGACAGGTGGAATTCCAAGATTCAAGGCTAAAGATCATTTTGTTGAAAAGTTTAACAATTTGATTCGTTACAAAGTCACTCACTTTTATTACTAAATAATCTAATAAGCTTAGAAAACCCAATTTATCTAATTTTTTTAATTTAAAACACGTTATCTCTTCACCAGTTTGACTGTTTATGCCATGGTTAATTATCTTGGGATTGAAGAACGTGCAAGTTTGGGCTGCCAGATTAAGAGTGTGTTTAGATAACGGCGGCAGAAGTAACTTTTTTTAATCTAACTTTTACAGAAGTTAGGTTGAGTAAAAATCAAATAGGGTATTGTGATTTATGTTTGGATTGTGTTTTGAAAAAAAGTTAGTATCAGAAGTTGAAACTTATTTTGATGATAAATGTAAACGTAAATTTGGATGTAGAACGATTTAAAAGGACATAAATTTTATTAAATAGTACATATCTAATATTAGATATATATATATATATATAATGTGACTATGTTTTAAAAAGTAAGGAAAATAAAATTATTAAAAGTAAAGAAATTTAATTTATTATTAGAAAGAAATTATATATATAATGTGATCATTTTAAAAGAAGTAATGAAAATAAAACTATTAAAAATAAGAAAATTTAATTTATTGTTAGAAAGAAATTATATATATAATGTGACCATTTCAAACGAGGAATGTGTGTGTTGTTTTTTTTTTTTTAAGTGAGATGAGAGAAAATTCATGCAGAGTCAATTAGGTAAAAAATTTTAACACCAAAATAAATGTTCTAACGGCATTTTCTAACGCCTTCAGCACTAAAAAAAAAAAACAACTTCAAAGAGTTTCTTCTAAAAATTCATTTCAGTCTTAGAAGTCAGATTGATCAAACGTGGGCCCAAAGATATTTTAAATGCTACCCCTTAACTTATCAGGTGGGAATACACGTTTGGGGGTCCAAACATGATCCCAAACACAGTCTAAGTTTCCAAGTACTATTGAAGGGAGAAAGCGCAACTTAGACCGGGCAACACTTATTTCACGCCCACGACAATTCTGTATTTTGAGTGGACAATCACAAGCACCACATGGGGTTGAAGCTCGCCCAAGACTTTCTATGCTGGAAAATAGTAATAACATGTTCTCATGAGCAGCTAATTTAATTTTTCTTTTTTACAACCCCATGGCTGACAAGAACACGAGCCATATTCAGAAATTACGCAAAACAACTCGGCTTACTATATAAGCAATGCATTGCCTCGCCTGGAGCCAAATGGCACATATACAAGATGTCAACAATCATAATACGAAACGTGTGTTTGAGGAATCGCGAAGGAAAGATTTTCTCTTATATTAGCCAGGCGTAGGGAGGAGGGGAAGAGACATAATTAAATTTGGAATATATGCGGTTTCACTTTCAAGATTCAAAAATTATGTACGAGTCAATTGAGGATGAGGACACAGCAAGGCATGCGAGTAGTTTAATTAACCAGTAAAACAATTAATCGCACTAAATTATGTGACTTTTTTGTAATACGAAGGGTATACCGAAGAATTCCGTCATGGGTTTAACCAAAAGTCACGAGAAGCTAAGCCAGCGCATTCGGTGTCCAATGAACGCCCCTTTCATCTCTAACGTACTGCCAAATGCAATCTAAATTTCGCTTTCAATTGTCAAATCATGTTTGATCGATGTCATATCAATATTCCTTAAATAAATGAAAGACCTCTTCCGATTTAATTTTTGCTCTTTCCTAAACAATAGAGTCCGAATTAGTGGGCACATGATGATGAGGGAACCGGCCTTCTGCGGGCATTCTGTTCTAAGTATGAATCCGTGCGTATTTCAAGTTTTGCGGCACCCGGAAAGTCAGATTTCTCATCAAATCCTTCCTCTTCGATCATACACATAGTTGCTGTAAATACTCCAAGGTGGACCACCAAACATATCAGAGACCGTTCCTCCAAATAAAGAAGGTAAGTGTGGCAATTATTGCCCCTTTTCACGACAGCTCCATGTAAAAATTGGTTTTCCACTTTTTTCTTGCGATTTGACTGAAATTTGGGCGAGTACGACCCTCAATTTATATACTAAGGAGAGAGAGAGACTTCCTTTAATTTTGCTTTGCCTTTTTCGGTAATGGTGTCGCGAAGTCACATTTTTAACTTGGGTATCATCGGATCTGCTTTTATGCATCCCATGAAAGGAATCATGAGGATGTGATGGGATTGTTACACCGCTTGTTTTGACATATTTATTCCCTAATTTGCTCGTAGCCTTCGCCCCTTTGGGCTTCAGCATTTCAGGATAGATATAGAAAGGAACCTTGAGAACCCCAGGGCCAGTTGTTATGAAAGCAGTCCATTGGACACTAATTTTGGAGGAAAAAGAGGCGAAATGCACTTACACATATATATGCACCGTCATGAACCCAGAACTCAAAAGGAGTGACAGTTCGACCAAACGTGTAGATCCTTTTCCAGTTGACACTCGCGTCACGGTCTACGAGGCTATTAATTTCAGGGTAAGCTTCCGAAAGGTGGTTGTCTCCTGTGACACGGAAAAAAAAGGAACATATGGCATTAAAATAGGAAATAAATATTAAGCATGCACCGCGTAACAGATTGTAAATTCAAGCATTTGAATCAAATGCCGCGTGAAACATACATAGGTTCAACGTGAATTTTGCAACACAGGCTGTTATACCCATACGGTTATACCAATCTTTCTCGTTCTCTTGTTTTGATTCCCAGCGGCGAGTCGCATCAGCATGTAAATCACTCTCTTTTGGGTACTGTAAAGTCAAATTCTGATACCTCCACATTTTCAAAAGCAGGCTTCTTACTCTCTTTGCAAGTGAGAACCGCCCTTTGTCAAGTATCGCCACAACTCTTCCAAAAAGAAAACGAACAGCGGAATTGCCAAAGTCAAATCGGCTTGCAGCTTTTCAAGGACCCACGTGGAAAAGGTCTCACCGACCCCTTGTCGAGCATTTCTCTATATAAACCACACTGGCCAGTTGCTAGTTGCACTCAACGCTGGAATCTGATATACAGATATACTAACCCGCCTTTACAGAAGGGACCGAAGACTAATCGAAGGAGCAGAGAGTCCGAGAGAAAATTCTGAAAGACAAGGATGCCAATGAAGAGCAGTCTCCGGGGCGTGTTGTGCGTCAGTATCATTATGCTTGTGGTGTCATCGCATGTCAGCCATGTGCATTGCCGAGTTCTTCGATCGGAGACGACGTTAAGCACAGAGGAAGCTCGTGACTGCGATGAAATGAGAGGATCGTCAGAGACGCCACTGGGAATGGCGTCCTTCCCTGTTTCTTCCAACAACTCCAGCACCCGTACTTCGATACGGAGCCTGACATTCTTGCTCGCCTCTGGACCGAGTAAAAAGGGTCCTGGCCATTAGCTATATCACCAATCCAACTTTCATACTTTGCGCTTTTAATATTTATTTCTTTTTCCATTGATGTTTTGATGTAACCCACATGTATTGTTCTTTGTTTTGCTCGTTTTTCCTGGCACAGTTATGGTCAGGGTATAGTCGATCGGCAGACAGAGTCTCTCCCTCCGTGATTCTTTCATGGGTTATGATTATGTACGTGTAGTTTGTAAATCCGCACTGTAGAAACAATGACAGTCTCTTGAATACACAATATACTTTATTTGCAAACGTCTTTATTGAAGGAAGCTATGCATTGTGGAGTTTTCAGTTTTGTGGCGTTTTTAGAAAGTTGTCGATGCGCGCTCATGTAATAATGAAGAGACGCCGACAAAATAAAGAAGTTTTCAACAGTTGCAACTTGGTTATTGCATAAGAATCAATGTTAATAAGCAGTATGAAATCGAAAGAGAGAGAGGGGTGGTGGATAAATTTAGGACGCTGCCAAACCTTGTGCTTTGAAATCAAAGACAAGATCACGCTGCGAGAGATATTGACATTCCCCTGACTGCCTAATAACGTTGACTTTCTTATAACACGATTCAGGACACTGTCTTTCTTTAGTTTTTCTTTTCGCAGGGTAATATGAATTTTCTTCACACGTCACTGTGCGAGTTGAGCTCCAGGCCTGTTGGTACAAAATAGTGCGCGTAATTTAAAC